CATTCAATAATATTTGCTTTAGCTCCATTGTTAGATTTAGTTCCTTTTACTTTTTGAGAAGCAAATGATATGTATATTTTTTTTCTTTCAATTCTTTATAAAAAAAAATTCTAAAATTTCATAAGATAAGCATATGAAATACTGAGGTGGCCTATTAGTTCGAGATGAGGGATAACATGCAATGATGCAAAGAACCACTGATTAGCTCTTCTTGTAGCTGAAAATATAAAACCAATATTCAATTAGTGCCAATATTCAATTAGTGCGATGTCGATGTCCTTTCACCCCTAGATCGTCAACAACTCTAACCTTTTTCAAAAGGTTCGAGAATTGGTAGGCACAAAAGAACAGATACTACAAACACCCTACATATACTACACTCACAAAAGAACAGATACTACAAACACCCCACAGATACTACAATCGTGAAAGAACAGATACGACACTACATCGTAGACACCATATCCTGGCTAATACATGCATACATTGGATATCACCTACACGTACATTTCATACATCAAATAGTACATCTTGCACACCACATACAGATACACCACATATCTTTATTTGATGGATCTAAGTATCATCATATCACCTTTTTATACTGTAGACACTATATCCACACACTGCGCCCTGTACGACAGATACTACATTTCACATATAGGTGCACTACACTTTAAGGAGTTTAGAAGTTTAGATACTACTCTATTCACACATCCTTTAAACGATAGGTTCTAGGGTTGTCTGACTATAGGGGTGATTCGTTGGTGGCCTCTAGTTGATATTGGTAGGTTGACTTCGATATATCAGTTGCCTGTGGGATCAAGATAAAAAGAAAAAGAGGTCTAGTCTGAGCCTAAACCCAAATTAAAAGTTAATATTCCATTTGAATTTTCATATGCTCATCACTTAACCTTTCTTTTATCATTTGCAAATATCTGTCTAACCCTTTTATATTATGCAATTGTAATATGTTTTTGTAGCATCGCCAGAATTAATCAGGTACACTTAGTTAATTCAGTTTTTGCTCCTTTACTGCACATTTTTTAGTCTTTCCTTTCCTTATGTTGCTTCATTTCCATATTTTTCTTTTAGTCTTTTCCTATTACAATACGTCACTACATAGTTGTTTCTTTTTTTTTTGTTTGTTTGTACTATATTGTCCTATAGACATTCACTTGCATTCAAACTTTTAAATACAAGCTCTTCTAGTATGTTTATTCAATCTCCTAGGATAGGCCTTTCAAGACATAGTTTTCTCTTTTATTCCTCCCTTCTTCTTGGACCATGACGGAGACATTGTCAATTGGTGATTCATCCCCTGATTCATCCCCGGCAATTGGTGATTCATCCCCGGGCAGCGATCGAGACAATAAATCTGGAGCAAATGACAATTCATCTTCGGATGGCGGTCGAGGTGACAGCAAAGAGACAACAGAAGAAACTTCAACCGAGCTTCGATAAATTTAAATAACATACTTATAGGACGTCGAGGTAGTTCATCTGGCACAACGTAAATCCTCACATTATCTTTTAGGACTTACTACGATTTTTATATCGTACGATATAAGTCCTAAACTTTTTAGGACTCCGAGGTCGTCGTACGTTACAACATAAATCCTCACATTTAAATCCTCACATCTCCGAGGTCGTCGTACGTTACAACATAAATCCTCACATTTTCTCGGGCTATTTGCATATGAAATGTAGAAACAAATCCCGAATATCTAAATAATTTCACATAATTTCCCCTTCCATAATTTCCCCTTCAAAGACGTAAAGTCAAATTATAGGTTAGTTTGAGACGTCACTAAATATCATTCAGTATCTTCGACATCTCTTACTTTTTGTTCATTTGGATTCCAAAAATAACTGTTCCTATTTGAACTTGTTCTATTTTAACCTATCCCATTTGACTTTTTCTATGAACAATCGTGGAAACTTGAACGTTGAATTATTGAAGACGAAACCTCTGATCATTATCGAGAGTTTTCTTAGGTGATTTCGATTGTCTAAGATGTAATTAACTATAGGGGCTCCTATAGGGAATTTGAGAACCCAGATTAATCTAAACTCTATCTAATCTGTGTATTAGAATGGAGAATTTGTCGGTTATAAATTTCGCAGACCAAAATAGAGTCATAAACTTTTAAGTTTAGATAGTTAAGCCTACCAATAAGTGATATGTTTATCCTTCGAGATGATATATCATTTATGGTATCGTACTCAGCTATTTAAATTATTAGATATATGAGATCTATTCGGTCTCATCATTTTTAAAAAATAAAAAATTTTCAAAAATAAAGGATACCATTTTCACAAAATTAAAATTACATTATATATATATATATATATTAAATTCTAAATTTAAATTTTAAAATCTTATTTTTGAAAGAAAAATAGCCGACAACCATAAAAATAAAAATAAAAATTTACCTGTAGATATGTAAATATATAGCATTTAAGTGTTATGAATGTAAAATGTCAAACAAATTATTTTTTTATAAAAAAAACTCTAAAAAGAAAAACAAGGAGCCAAAATAAATTTAGTAAAGAGGTAAAGTTTGGTTCTTATTGTTTAATTGCATGTTCCATAAAGACATATGGACCCATCAGTTATTACAACTTTGTACATCAACTTCAAGTTAATACCGAAATTTAGCTTATTTCTAACGATATTATGTCATTATTGACTTCCCTTTTTAGTCAACCCTTTCATTGGCTCATATCTGGTTGAACCTTAGTTGAGCTTAAACTTGAGCTAAAACCTAATGCAATAAAACTATAATTTAACTAAATAAAATTAAAATTAACCAAACTAAAACATAGCTAAATATAAACAATTTCAACCATACCCTAAAACTGACTTAAAAATCAGCTTTAACCAACATACATCCCAAAATTATCATTTTCTCTATATATTATCATTGTTTGAAATTTCATTTTAGAAGTTGCATCATGCTTATTATCATATATAAAGACCATGCAAAAAATTTTGATGATCATATTATATAATTTTTATAGTAACTCTTCACTTCAAGTTATATGCATGAATATTGTTCATTCAACCTGAAACTATCATTTTTTCCTTAGACCAATCCGATGATTAAATTGCATTATGTAAGTAGTATAGGATTCATATTCATATATAAGTAGCATGCAAATCAGTTTAGTGATCATCGTGAATAGTTTTTACGTAAAATTTTGTATTTTGTGTTTTCATGCATGAAAATAGGTCATACATGAAAATTTTTCAATGAATCATTATTCTTAAAAATTGATTATGTTAGTGCATTCAGATTGTCAAAGTATTTCAAATGAATTCCTCTATGCTTAAATCTGACTCCACTTCGAGGCCCATTGAACCAATAATAATTTGGACAATAATTTTGATAATAAAAAGAATAATCCTAATAATTGTTCAAAATAGACTCTAATTGAAACCAAAATTTAACCAACCTAAATATGAGCTAAAAATACTTAATTTAATCAATTAAGCCCTATTAAAAGCCCTAATTCAAAATCCATCAAAATTGTCTCTCCTAAGGAATGGCCTACACTTTGAATTGAAAAATTTTGAAGTGAGGCCCACTTTAACCAAAACCAATTGCACAACTAAATTCTTTGTATTTTGCTTTACCAAATGAGCTAAACTTAAAATTTTGACTATAATCACCCCAATCACCCATAATTATTTAGTCACTTCAAATTGAAGTTAAAGATAATATTTTTCAAAATCGATTAGACCACTGAACTCCTCACATTTCTCTCTTCAAAATGATATATGTTTGTATTTTTCACCCTAAGCACCATAGCTACATTGAATTTGACTTTCCCTCCCTCAAAAAAATTGAAATTTCTCTCTATTGTCTCCCCTAAACCACGCCCACCAAATGTTCCCCTTAATTCTTTCTCTTGGTCGAAGCTCAACACTCCCTCCTCTCTCATTCTCTAAAGGCTCATCTCCTCTCATCTCCCTAAGAACTGAGAACCACCTCCCTCTCCCTCTCTTCCTCTCCAAACCAAGCATGTCTCTTCCTTTCTTTTTTTCTCCTCTTCTCTCCACAAACCAAGCCTTCTACTCCACTTCTCCTCCAAAGCCAAGGAAAATACACTTCAACTCAAGAACAAGAAAATCACCTTTCATCTAAAAAAGGCAACAAAGAAACATTTCAAGAAAGGCATAAAATTTTTCAATCCTCTATCATCTACTCTCATTTATTGGGCTTTGCATGATGTAGACTATATAAAGGTGTTGTTTCCCTTCTCCTCCTCAGCTTTCTCACCAAAATCAAACCCTATCTCCACATCCTTTTCCTTTCCACACCATGGCCAAGACCCCACACTCATCCCCTTCCCACTGCTAACCAAAATTGAACCATATCTCCCCTTTCCTTCCATGTTCCCCCATGGCCGAGACCTCACACTCACATCCTCCCATTTTTTTCTCAAAATCGAACCCTAGCCCCATTCCTTTCCCCTCTTCTTAACCAAACCAAGAGCCCCACAAAAACACCACTATCCAATCCAAACTCTAAACCTACTCAAAAATACCACTTTCCATGCCTCTCCCTAACCACAAACTGAATACACCACTTTTCAACTCTAACAAATAAAGTATAAAAACACATATTACACATTGGGCTCACCATTCGTGAAAAAACTACTAGTTTAATCAAATCCAAAAAAAAGTGATTAATGTGTAAATTAAATTGATAGAAAAGAGAAATAAGCTAGTAGAGCATATAGGTTTATTTGAGCATACATGAATGGTAGGCAATTCACAAGATACACATGATATAAATACATGACTTATTTAAGCTTTGCACACATTGGTCGAAGAGAAATTCGACCAATTTCCTTTCTTACTCTCACTCATGCATATCAACATAACCCCCGAGCAAGCCCGCTCTTAGTTGATCCTACAACATCAAAAACTGTGGTTGGAAAAATGGTTCATAAATCAAATAATTGATGTTCGAAGATTGAAAATTGAATTATTACTTGGCGCAGTCAGTGGAAGGGCTGAATTTGTAAGGGAGGGGGATGCCGCATTTGTCAGGGATAACGGCGGCACGGATAAGCTCATCATTAGACGCTCCCGAAGCCAACGACTTGAGGCAGTTGCATGCGGTGCGGCGGTCGTCCGTCGTCTTCGCCGCATTTACGATGTTGTTGAGTCCATTGCAGCAATCCGACGGCACGTCCCCACCATTTCTTATATAGTTCATGCATGGCAGCATGTTGAGGTTCACCGCCCCGCAGGTTATTGCAGTCGCCTCCGTCGGCATTCTCGCCATTATTGCCAATGTCAGTGCTATTGCTATAACCGTCGCAGCTGTGAAACGAGCCATGCCTGGATTAGATTAGCTTTGCAGACTCTTCTTCTTTCACCGACTGGTTGGTTCGAATGAGCTGTTACGTGTCTGTATTTATATAATTAAGGTAATATTAATTTATTTATTAATTATTTAACCTTTCTATTTTATTATTTAACTATATTGAACGTTGTTAAACGTATATTATTATAAATAAGCCTGTGCGCAGCGTATGGGTTGTCTTAGATATAGATGAAGAGAAACGTTGCTCGTCTTATTTTGGCTTAGGAAGGTAGAAAGCTAGCACGAAATTGTTGGGAAAAGGATGATGATTTTGTTTTGCTTTGCAAGCCTATATATTTAAAAGCTTTAAAATGAAAAAGAAAAAGTGATTAAAGAAGATGAGCATACTTCCATGAGACGTAGATGAGATGGTGATATTCATTATTTTTGTTAATCTGCCATCGCGGTGACGTGAATCTTTTAAAGTAATAAAATATGCATTAATTCAGACACCGTGCGAACACGCTTCAATGCATACATACATATATATATATATATATATATATATATATATATATATATATATATATATCTTAATTTTCATCTTTTTAATTATGAGGCACTTTTCTGATTAGCTTTAGCTTATGGGAAACGTTTAAAGAAGGATAATTTTACCTTGTCACTATCTAGACCATCTGAAGCTATAATTTTAGTGGAACATGATATATACACACACACACACAAAAATATAGATGTATATATATATATCTGTATATATGTGCATGTTTCATGGTCTGTTGGTAGAGAAGTCTCTCTGAAGGTCGCAAGTCCCCTTAGGTCTTGGGTTCAAATCCCTTGTTGGCATAGTGTCGCCTTAAGCAAGGTGACACTCAAATAATTTGCGAACCGGGTCGCCCCCAAGCCTAGCGAGGGTTGAGGCCATTAGGGTGGGTTTTGGACCTCATTGCCCCAACCATTCTATTTAATTAATCCCTCAGGTGAATCAGTTGGTTGTACCCTCACCCCCTGATTCTCCAAGAGAACATGTTGATGATGAAGTCTTGCAGCAGGTGCTAGAAGTAGAATGGCAAATCTAGAAAGTCAGCAAGAAGAAAAAAGGTTTCCTTGAACTCATAAGTTTGCAGGATGATCATTGCATACTCACTGGTGGCAGCTCTTACAATTCTGGAAAGAGATCTCACACTAAGCTGACTAGGGGGAGATCCAAATCTCTTCACCATGATTAGTATTTTGTGTTGGAACATTAGGGGTATATTTCACCCCAACTCTCTTAAAAGACTACTACATCTCAATAAGAAACATAGATTTTGGTGCATAATGGTGCTAGAACCTATGGTTCATAAGAATCCTTAAAAAATCATCCAAAAATTTCATGGCTTTAAACATTTTGCTAGCTCCAATAATAAGATCTAGATTTTGTGTAGGAGGTATCTTGGTCCATCATTTTAGATAATCCACGGTTTGTTCGCTTCTCCTTTTGCATTGAAGGACACAATGGCTATGCTACATTTGTTTATGTTGGATGCTCCAAACATGCTAGAATTGAACTATGGGAAGAGCTACTGGCCATCAGTAGCAGTATGTCCTCTAGCTGCGTTGGTGGGGGAGACTTCAACTGCCTTGCATACCCAACCGATAAAAGGGGTGGGGGGCAGCTCACCCTCCCCAACTTAATATTATGACCATATTTACTGATAACATACAAAAAACAAGACTTTTTTATTTGGGTTTTCAAGGGCCTCAATTTACCTAGAGAAGAGGTCATATATGGGAGAGGCTTGACAATATTTTGGTGAAAAATTCTTGGCTTCATAATTTCCTCCACTCAACTGTAACTCTCTTAAGTTTGGCGGGCTCGGATCACAGGCCTCTTTTGTTATCTATAGTAGGTTCCCTCCGTAGTAGTAGAGGCCTTTTTAGTTACCATATTATGTGGTCAGCTCACCCATAATTTTTTAACCTCATCAAACAACAATGGAAAGATGTTCATCATCAAAATCCATGGGCCCGACTATGGCAATTACATAAAAAAGTTGGCAAGGTTCTCAATAAGTGGAATTGGTCTTCTTTTGGTGACATTTATAGCCAGGTTGAGCAGGCTTAGAAGGAAGTTGTGTTGCTAGAGGAAGCTGTAGCATTGGTTCAAGTATTTGAGGAGGTAGTTTTTCAATCCAATGAAAAGCTACTCACAGTTATGACATGGAAGGAAGTTTTTTTAAGACAGAAGGATGCAGTTACCTGGTTTTGGATTGGGATAGAAACACTAATTACTATCACACATGTATTAAATACAAGAGAAAGTGTAATGCTATCCATAGAATCCAAAACATCAGGGGGGAGTGGCTCACTGATCCCACTGTCATTGCCAATGTTGTTGTGAGCTATTTTCAAACACTTCTCACCTCACCTTCTCAGGATAGAACTCCTATCAGCCAAAGCCTTTTCATGAAGGATAAGGAGTACACAAGCGACTCAGAACTCACTGGAATACCAACTGATGAAGAAATTTGGGCAACATTCAACTCCATTGATACAAATAGGGTCGCTGGCCCTGATAAATATTCTTTTGAATTTTATAAAAAGAGATGGCAGATTATTAAGGAGGATGTGATCTAGGCTATTCAGAGCTTTTTTTAGGGGTTGGATCTTCCTAATTACTTTAGTTGCTCAAGTATTGCTCTCATCCCTAAGGATACTGATAAGAGTAAGTGGAAGCTTTTCATGCTAATAAGTCTTACCAGTGTCATCAGTAAAGCAAGCAATAAAATCTATTTGGGAAGGCTCCAAATTCACCAATTAGAGATAATTTATCTTAACCAAATAGTCTTTATGAAAGATGAGTTTATTACAGCTAATTGCTAGCCTAAGAACTACTTTTAGATTTGGACAAACCTTGTAGGAGTGGCAATTCGATTTATAAATTGGACCTACAAAAAGATTATGACACCATCCATTAGGAGTTTATCCTGGATTCTTTGTTGGCAATCGACTTCTCAAGGGAATTTTGTATTTTGATCTCAAGCTGGTTGGGGAACAATGCACATTATATTCTCATTAATGGAAAATCACTTGGCTTCTTCCATGCCACTAGGGGACTCAAACACGACAACCCCCTCTCTCCAAATGTGTTCATCCTAGCTCTAGATTACCTTTCAATACTTCTTAAACACAGATCTACAAGCTTCACACACACAATATAACCATGGATCTAATGTTGTTGTTACTCATTTAATTTATGCTGATGATATTATTTTGTTTTCCAATGCAAACAAGGTTATTGTGAAGAAGGTGGAGATATGTCTGCAACATTTCCAAAATTGCTCTAGGAAGGTCTTCAACAAGGAAAAATGTTGTCTGCTCTTTAGTAAAAGGACTAAAGGCCCGCTTCAGCAATGGATTAAATATTTCACTAGTGTCACTACTTCCACTATCCCTCTCAAATATCTGGGAGTATCATTGATTAACAGAAGAGATAAACAAATCCAATTTGGTGATGTTATTGGGAAGATAGCTGCACAATCAAACTGTTGGACTAATTCTTTTCTTTCAAATGGAGGTAGAATAACCCTGCTAAAAAGTATCCTAACTACTTTCCCCTCATACATCATGCAAATTACTAATATGAAGAAAAGCACACAATTACAACTGGAGAGGTGTTTCAATAGATATCTTTGGGTTGGCCAAAGGAAGCAACTCCGTTGGGCTAGTTGGTAGAAAATTGTTGAACTCAAAATTGCTGGTAAGCTTGGGTTTAAGGGACTGAAGCAGCTCAATCATATTAGTTTATGCAAGTTATGGATTAAATTAAGGCAGTAGGACTCATTGTGGGAAAATTTCAAGCTGGGCAAATATTGTAGAGATTCTCATCCCAATTCTATCAGCAAGAAATTGGGAGACTCCGGAGTTTGGGTTAATTTACTAAAGGTTAGAGATAAAGCTGAAGATCTATTCATTTGGGACCTTGGAAATGCATATATATCATTTTGGCTGGACAACTGGTGTTTGGAAGAATGGTTTCAACCTAAGCCCTCCACTCAGGTTAATCTAAACATGAAAGTCTCTGATTGCTGGGTGGATAATTGCCAGAAAGGTTTGACCACATTTTTGGCTGGTGTTTTTAGTTTGTGCCTTTTGTTTGGATTATCATTAGTCTCATCTAAAATCAAAATTTTTACCCAAATCTAACAATTTGAACTTAAATCTTCAAAAAAAAATTGCACAAAACATTAGTTTCACAACCATAGAAACATCAAGTATATAAAAGAACCAAAATGACATTAAATAAAATTGAGTAGTAACATCTTTGTGATTTAGGAATAGCCACAAAAACATCACATAGGCATATGCATGACCATATTACCTATATTTCTTGTCTTTCAAGCACCGCTCATTGCACAAATGGAATGGTTTGCCCTCTAAGAACCATCACCTTACGGAAGTGAGTTCTTCGTTTGAATTTCAATTGGCCTTATGAACAAATCCTTTAAACCTTTATCATCAAGGACCTGCATAGCTTATAACGTAACCTGACAGTAGGACATGCTAAACTATAGTTTGATAGCCAGCTTAAAATGGAACCCATTTGCTTGAATCAAATTAGCTTATTTAATCCTATTATCTATTTCTTTGCCATCTCTTGAGATCCATGCTTAGCAATGATGCTTGGCTTGATGGGAATAAGATTTTACAAATATAAATCTAGAATGATGTCATTGAAACTGTCGCGTGAAATCCAAAAGTTTATTTTTAATTACAACACAACAATTACTAAATTCACGTCAACGTAAACGACAAATTAACAAAAATAATTAAGATTACCGGCTCACCTCCGGCTAATGAAATTTTTTTCTTAATTTCTTTACTTCATTCATGTATTATTATTGCTCAAGAAATTAAAATAAGCAGGTTATACTGAAAAAAATACTATAAAGGTGAATGAAAAAGATTATAATTTACTTAAGTCAGTGTAAGAATATATATTTTTAAATTGTTTGCTTATAATATTAGTATATAGGGTTATTTCTTTTTATTGAAAACCATAATGATCAACTCACAACATTATATATATAT